CATAGGATATACACTGTACAAATAAGAGCTGGAAACACTGGGAATCTAGGACAGACAAAACCCTCAGGACAAATAATGAGAGTAGTGATACCAGGAGGGTAAGTGGAAGGTTGGGTAGAAAGGGGGAGCCAATTACAAGGATCTACATATAAACCCCTCCCTGGGGGACGGACAACAGAAAAGTGGGTGAGGGAGACATCAGACAGTGTAAGACATGAAAAAATAATAAAAATTTATAAATTATGAAGGGTTCATGAGGAAGGGAGAGTGAGGGAGGGTGGGAGGGGGAAAATGAGGAGCTGATACCAAGGGCTCAAATAGAAAGAAAATGTTTTCAGAATGATGACGGCAACAAATGTACAAATGTATGTATGGATTGTGATAAGAGTTGTACGAGCCCCCAATAAGTGATTTTTTTTTATAAGTGATTTTTTTTAAAAAGGTCTGCATGTGTATCAGATCAAACGTAGAAGGAGCAGATCCTGGAGATCCAATCACACCATGTATTTGAATGAATTCTAGCCAGATCAATAATATGCTTAAAGGGAGGAATGGGTTGGATGGGGCCATAATAGAGGAATCCTGATGGTGAGATGCATGATTTCAAGAATGATTAGGCAAGTGTGATCCTCTGGTCTGTCCTTCCTGTCCTGCAGTGCCTCTGCCTTGTCCTTGGGGAGTTCCGACTCCAAACTGGGGAGCCATTCTCACTGTCCCTAGGACACTCATGAAAAAGAGAGGTACCCCAACTCTCTCCAAGGTGTCTGTTATGTGGCATGACTGGGGTGGGCGGGAAGTGGGAGGACTGTGACCAGTGGTTCTGAGCTTGACAAGTTTCATCTGTGACTATTCCATTAATGATAGTGGGGGGAGACTGGGTGGGAGGAATGAGGCATAGTTTGAAGTTATCTTCGTGCAATTACCAGAGGAGCCTAGCTCTGAGGATCAAGACAATTTGGAGAAAAGATACTTTGGAAAGGTTAGAACTGTTAACTAGAAAAACCTGACTTGGCAGGATTATAGTAAAATAACTTCATCTTAAAAACTGTTTTACCCAACATAATGCATGTGCCCCAATCATGGTCTCATTTCTGCTTCTGTAGTCCCACATAAAACTGTGATACACTGGCCTGCTGTCAATCATGAATTGGTGACAGTTTCTATTATCCCATACCTTATTTACATAGCTGCATATCTTTAAGTACTTAAATACCATTATGGTCTCGTGCTAATGGCCTCCCTCAGACAGACGATATCTCTTTATCTCTGTCCTGGTTATGGCTTAATATATGTTCTCTTTACATTATTCTTTTCAAAAATAACATTGCTTGCCTCTGGCCATCATTGTATGATGCTCCCTATAAACACAATTTTCCCAGATCTGTTTCAAGCACCATGAGCTGTATGTGGCTCACACCTCCTGTTCCTTCACTACACTGTCTTGGTTGTTAGGAAGTTTTCCCCTAAATTGAGAAGAAATGTCCTTTGAATGTCACTCCTTCTCTCTGCACTGGTCTGGGTGCCCAGAACAGGTCTCCTAGCTTACATCTATGAAAGCTCTTCAGAAACTAGTGTGACTCGGTCCTCGCTGACACCCCTTCCCTCTTCTCCCCACTTACCTGGATGAGGTGTGGCCATGGAAAGGTCCCAGGCACTGTCCAGGGAGAAGTTGAGAGGATGGCGGCAATGGGAATTCACCGGGATAGAAGGTTGATGGCCAGAGGATGCT